TCTTGCTAATGCAACTTATTCGCTCATCTAGGTCTAATTTTTGGGCGATTGTTTTAGCTTACTTATTGATATCGTGTTCTATTGTTTTTGCTTCCTTTTTGTATGTTTTGGTTATGTTGTTCTCGAGTAATTTATTGTGCGTAGGAGGGCTTAGTTTGTATGAAATTCTTGTTTTGTCAGCTGCGATAAATACATTTGCTGAATTGTTTATTTTAGTTATATCTTCTTTTAGTTTTTAAAAAATACATCTTGTTTTTTATGGAATTTTATGTTTCTCACTATGTCAGTTAAGTCTTTCTTGAAGTCGTCTAATTCTAGGTAACAACTAGGTAAAATAAATAAAACGATACTAGAAAGAATTAATTCTGACTTAGGAAGAAGTTAGGAGTAAACCAGTGAAAAACACAGGGGCAACTATTGACTGGTTCCACAACATAAATAACAAACAAAATTGCCAATTCCTACAATTAGACATTAAATAATTTTACCAATCCATAACAGAACCCATGTTAGATAAGGCCATCAGCTTATCTCAGGAACAAATAATAATAAAACCAAACGAAATCGACATCATTAAGCACTCCCGTAAATCATTACTATTTCACAATGAAGAGCATGTATAAAGAAAGATGGGATATTTGACACTACAATGGGAAGCTTTGACGGTGCAAGACATGCGAAATCATAGGTCTTTACTTACTACACGAACTAAGCAAAATAATAGATAGAAATGATACAGGACTCTACAGGGACGACGGTCTTATAATCTTAAAAAATAACAAACAATACACAGACAAAACTAGAAAAACAATAATAAATATTTTAAAAAAAACGGATTGGACATAGATATAAAAACTAACCTAAACGAAGTAGATTTTCTAGATGTTACCTTCAACCTAAGAAGAGGCACATATAAACCATACAGAAAACCCAATAATAAACCACTCTATATACACACATCTTCCAACCACCCAACTTCTATAATCAAACAGATACTAAAATCGATTAACCGAAGCATTTGTGACAATTCCTCCAATAAATCCATATTTAAGAAAACTAAGAAAGAGTACGAAACAGCCCTAAAAGATAATGGATTCCCAGCAACACTCACGTACTCACCACAGAACACAAAAAGGCCAACAGGAAAAGAAATATCACATGGTTCAACCAACCGTACAGCAAAAACGTTAAAACAAAAGTAGGAAAAATATTCTTCAAACTATTACACAAACACATCTCGGAATCAAGCACACTACACAACATATTCACCAAAAACACAGTACAAATCAGCTACAGTTGCACCGAAAACATGGCACAAATAATAAAAAAGCACTACAAGAAAATTATCAACAAACGGCACGAACAAATTAAACCCACATGTAACTGCAGAATAAAGAAAGAATGTCCCTTAAACGGTTATTGTTTACAAGACAACGTAATATACCAAGCCACGATAAAATCACCAGATAATGAAGAAAAAGTATACATAGGAGTAACTGAAGGACCCTGGAAACAAAGAAATTATGCACACAAAACATATTTCACAAATAGTAAATATGCGAACAGCACTATGCTTTCTAAGTATATCTGGGAAATTAAAAACAAAACGCACATCACACCAAAAATATCTTGGAAAATAAGGAAAAGTTCATCAGCCTACAACAATCAATCGAAAACTTGCAAACTTTGCTTGGAGGAAAAAATAGCTATCATTACCTACCCAGACCAAAATAAATTATCAAATAAAACATCCGAGCTCATCTTAAAATGCAGACATGAAAATAAATTTTTACTACGTTACTTAAAAATCGAAAACGGAAAAAAATAAAATAAAAAATACAATAAATAAATAAACAAAATTACAAGAAAATAAGTAAAATAAATTATCTCAAACAAATTATAAATCGCACCCGTTAGAATAGACGGAATAAAATAAATAAATAAAAAATAAAAATAAAATCAATGAATCCAAATAAATAAAATATATAATAAACAAATTAACAAATCATTATAACCAAAATATTAGTTAGACTATAAAAATCAAACCAAAAATCGAACGAAAAAGATAGCTATAACTGTTATATAACGATAAAAAAAAAATAATTCTACATTACTTAAAAATCGAAAACCGAAAAGAATAAATAAAAATATACAGTATAATAAATAAATAATAAAAAACAAGTAAAAGGAATTAATCTAAATTCATCAAAATAAATAAATAAACTAACAAACCGATCCCGATAAAAACAAATGAAGATAATCAATCCAAATAAATACATGAAGTAATAAACAAATTAAAAACTGCTCCCGCCAAAATAATAGTTAGAATAGTTAGAATAAACTACAGCAAACAACCCCAAAATTGAATAAATAGCTTTAATTATCTTCCCAAACCAAAACAAAACTATTAAATAAGCGATATAAACAGATTTTTACTACGTTAATAAAAACACCGATTAAAAAAAGAAATAAATATAGAAGATAAGAAATAAAAATTAGAATAAAAAAATAAAAATAAATAATGACTAACAAAATAATTTAACCCAAATAAATAAATAAAGAAATAAACGACTTCCGGCAAAATAACCGCCAAAATAGACTACGCACAATGCACCACTGTCCAGTATATATAAATAACCGAGAAAAATACCAGCACTCGTGGCCTGACGATTGCATCTAGCATGAAACAGACTGTCGCCTCTAAGTGTTGACTTCAATGTTCACTTTATTATTTACACACGCTCTATCTCTGATATTGATCACTTTATCCCATAAATATAGCACATATATATATATATATATATATATATATATATATATATATATATATATATATATATATATATACACGGAAATGAATTCAAGAGAATAGAAAATTTAAAAATACATATAGCGTTTCGAAATTATCAGCAGAATTAAAAAGTAAAATCGAACGAGAATAATAATTTTTCCGTCCATTTTTACTTTTTTCATTCTGTGAGTTTCAAAAACTTACATAGCTAAAAATCGACTCTAATGCAATTATTACGTATTTTTAATTTTAAGATATCTTCGTAAATACAAATCATACGATGATCATTTTTTTGCAAAAAGGTGTGTTTAATAAAAAAATAAGTTTCAATCTATATATATATGTATATAAATAAAAAAGAAAGAGCAGCAAGATATATAATCCGGTGTTCTTATAGATATTTTTATTTTTACAAAATAGTGCTCAATGTAAATTTACAGAGCATTAATATTTTATATATATATATATATATATATATATATATATATATATTGCCGTTAATTATTGTATGTTACAATTCCAATTATCTTGTGGAATTTGGTTATAACTTAAAAAATTAAGAAAAAAAAAGAAATATCTGATGATATGTTACTCTTACTAGGACGACAAATACGCAGACTCTGAAATTACAGATTGAATCTACGGACTCTGAAGGATTCCTCAGACCTTCCAAAATTTACACAAAAAATATTGTGCTTTGTTAACTCTTGTAGTAAACATAATTTCGGTCGTAAATATGTAACATTTATGAGGAAAATATACGGACATTTTAGGTGTTTATAAATTGTACACGAAACGAACATTTCTTACAATATAATATATATTACTTATAATACATTCCTTCTTGCCGTCAATTTTGACAGCACGAGTACATTAGTAATGAAATACTGTTCCAAATTTATAGATGAAAATCAATGAAATCATAAATCAAGCGGAAATAAATAAGCAGAAAGCCACCAACATTTCTATGCATGTTAGTTGGATCATTTTTATCTATAAATGTTCTTCTATGGTCTATGAGAAGCGCTAGTTCGTGGGGAGGTACTGTATGCTGTAGTATCTTTCGTGAGGACAGCCTTTCCCCTGCTGCTTGGACAGAATCCTCAGATCTGTTTCGTAGTGTAGTATTTGAATGACAATGCCTAGCTAAGACCAGAAAAGACCAGTGGCCCTCGTGGAGACACTCGGGTTCCCCACATTAAAACAAACTAACTTTGTGTCGCATCCTGACTCATTGGGGAGTTAAAGGTAAATATCGAGAAGCGCCACTGGGTCACGTAACACCTGCCATGATATGAATCCGTCATGGCCCGTAAAAAGAAAAAGTAAAAGAAGCTCGCAACTAAATTATATCGTAAAAATGCTGAACTTATGGATGGCGTAAAGAAACCTCGTCGCTACAGATGTGGCACTTCGAGAGATCAGACACTATCAAAAATCCGCTGAACCTCTTTTTCGAAAACTTTCATTTCAGCGACTGGTACGAGAAGACGCGCAGGACTTCAAGTTAGACTTACACTTTCAGAGTTTTGCAATCCTTGCACTGCAAGAAGATCTGAAGGCTTACTTAGTAGGTTTATTCGAAGACAATATAATTTATGTACCATTCATGTTAAGCGATTCCCTCTAATAATGAAGGACATTCACCTTGATCGTCGTATTCGCGGCGAGCGGGCTTAGATTTCTGGATTCGCCCGCGTTCGAATCTGTAGCGTGGAATTCTGAAGAATACAGTACAAGTACAAACGCCTACTATACTAACCAATCATGATCATATGAATGTATTTACTTGCCCTTCATCGATAAGGCTTACCGGTTTCGAAAAATCCTCTTCGTCGAACAGCAACTCTAGCAATTGCCATTTAAAATCAAAATATTTTCGTGATCAGACATACATTTTCTTGTATCATCTGGGTATTGAGTACTTCTAAAAGTTGGCTGCAAAAGCGGAATCCAGTATCTGCAAAGCTTTGTGTGCTAACCTTATCTGTGATCGATGATTTCTCCTTGCGAGAATGTCACAATGAAATCTTTAATCAAATTAAAAAAGGTAAATCATAAACCACTTTCTCTTAATTTCAGGAATTTCGTCTGATACCTGCCCTCCTCTCCGAAATGCTTACCGAAGCTGCTTTCGAACATTTCCCTTTCAGGTTTGCTTAAATTCTCTAAACAAACCTTTAACAATTCTTTAATGCTGTGTACTCACGTTGGATACATTGTGTCAGATCGTCGCTCGGAAAGAATCCCGGTAGACAAACGCACACTCCAGCCTCACACGTGCTATGAAAAACTGCACTATTACAGTCAACCTTTGAACGGCACATATCATCTCCAATGCGCCCTGCAATAAAGAAAAGACAAATTTACAAGTCTCCAAGAAACATTGTTTCTCTGGAATATTTTCCTGTAGAAAAAACAATAAAAAATATTTTCATTTAGTAAAAAGGTAATTAAGCAGGAATTGACTTGCCATTGGCAAATGACCAATGGATTTATTCATGTTTATCCATTGATATGGGAAGATCTTCTGTATTTATATCGGGAAACATCAGCACTCTGAAACCTGTAATTTAATACAATATGCATAGAACTTTCGTTCACATGTATCATTAGTAATTTTTAATGTAATAATGTATTTTCTCCAATCTAAATTCTTGTAAGATTTGCCTGTGGCAAAATTGATTGTGCTTTGAAGCTGCAATATAATCCCTTTTATAATATATATATATATATATATATATATATATATATATATATATATATATATATATATATATATATATATATATATATATATATATATATATATATATATATATATATATAAAAAGCTTAAACAATAGTACTCCATATATATATATATATATATATATATATTGTATTGGATGACATTGTTTTGTAACATAAACTACACAGACTTTCATATATCAAGCTATAAATATATAAGATGGCGTTGTGCGTGTACAGCACTCACAGCCTGAAAACATTAATAGCTGAAAAAAATAATAGAAATCATTAATAGCTAAAACATTTGAAATATTAAACACTTTATTTACAAGCACAACAGCTTACTTGATTCTGTCAATCTTCACATCTAAAACTTAAAAATGAATGTTAGTCTAAACATTTTATCAGAATATTTGACAACCTGAAATTTGATAGTGTTTAATCATGAGCAAATGAGATTACCGATATAGTTTCTTCATTTAAGTAAATAAAGATGCATATAAAGTAATTCTCAAGATATTTCATATTTCGTATTAAATTAACAGGAGCAAAGACACTTTCCACCCGATCTGTAAATTGGACCAGAATTAACAAGTGGATTCTGAAAAAGAAAATAAATCTAATTATTGAAATCTGCCCAGTTTTCTGAAATGGAATAATTACCTTTTATAATATTTAAAATTCAGGTTTAAGGGTTAAAATCTTACGTTTATTGAATTCAAACAAAAATAGTTCTAATATTACAATTTAAGATATATAAATGTTAGTAACTTCCTTATTATTTTAAGCGAAAATTGTAATCTTGTAAAATAACAATATACGAACAAACTTATTCATCGTTTAATAGTAGGAATAGTTTCAGTTTTAATAAATGAAAATATAAGTGGAAAATAAAAAAAAAAATTGCTTACTTTGAGAAAGTTTAAATATTTTGTTCAAAGTAAAAAGAACTCTGCCTACTACAAAACGATTGTTAGCTCGTGAGTTCATTTTACTTCTATGTTCTACGAACATAGATTGCCTTGGAAAAGGAATACAAAGATGGTACGATCCGCGAAATTAAGCAATTTCGAGCCTGCTCTGTACCTAAATGGGTGACCGCTTGGGAATATCAGGTGCTGTAACTTGTGTGGATAACGGCTCGGAATCGTTAATCGGAGAGTCGATCGAACAGTGAGTGTTTGGGTCACTGCAGAGGATTCGGAAAGAGTTGGATGAATCTAAAGATGAATACAAAGATGTTTGGAGTGATCACTAGTGATGGTGATGTTATGCCTCTATTTATATTCCCACAGGACCTCAGAATCAGCACAGATGCCTACATCAAGTGCATGGGGTTGTAGTGCTGCTCTGGGTCAAGAGGGTGGCTGCTGGATGACCTTATGTCTGGCACCTAGAAGGAGAACCTAGTCATAGCTGTCAGACAATTTCTGAGACCGCAAATCCCCTTACATCTGGCCACCTAACTTCACAGACTGCATCCCCCTTGATTATTATGTGTGGGGCGCAGTTGAGCGAGAGACCAACAAAACTCCTTGTGAAGTGAAGACAAGTTTTATGGCAGCATTCACCAACTTAAACAAGGAGACCATCGAGAAGAGTTGCAGGAGATTCCGTGGTCGTCCGGAAACCGCGAATGGAGCCAAACGCGATTGTATTGAATATATTTACTCTATTTCAAGATATTTTTTGTGTAATTTTAGTAAATATGTCTGTTAAAATGAAATGTCAGCGTTATTTTTATTTTGGCGTAATTTAGACGACATTTTATCTATCGCCCACTGTATACACAGACATATAAAAATAAACACGCACACACATACACGCGTAAAATATGTGAGAGTCAAACATTTTGGACATCTCTCATATCTTAATGAAAACACTATTTTTTTTTCATTGATGCAAATTCTGAAATCAAATAAATTATGAGATTTCCTGTATTCTCGTTTTACACTTATATATGCACCATATTTTAAAGAGACTTCATCGTTATTCATTGTTTTAAATAACTGGCAATTATGACAGTTTATCTATTATTTTTAGATGTAGTTTATTTATTTTGTTGTATATTCAGCAATGTTATTTCTTCTTAATTCTAAATGTATATATATATATATATATATCTATATATATACATACATACATACATATATATATATATATATATATATATATATATATATATATATATATATATATATATATAATATACAGAGACACAATTGTTTTAAGCACATATTTAGCAGTTATTCTTTTATTATTATATTTCCATTTTTTTTTTTTTTAGCCCGGTCTGACTTAGTATACGACAGTTGCTGGTTTTGCTTTGTGTTCGAATCCATGATTTCTGAAGGAATTTTCAGTTTGGTTTTTATATCATTTTTTTTCATCCAGAATGGTGAGAGGAATCATTTTGAATTCATTCATGTATTGTTTTTATTTGACGCACTGTTTCGACAAGATAAGCCAACAATCTTAGCAAAGTTTGACCGATTTTCTTAAATAGGTAAGATTTCCAAATACTTAGCCATTTTTCTAAATAAGTCACAAAAAGGTTTAACAAAAGTATTTTTCTTTTTCATATAGGGTAAGACGAAGCTCATATAATGCCCAATTTTCTATCTTTCTGAGAGAAATAAATTCATTTCGACGTCATATTTAACGCCAGCTTTAACAGAGGGTTTGTAAACGTGATTAAATACAATTTAGATATTTTTTTAATCATTACACCCCAAGCAATGCGATAATGCCACTAAGACTGGGTATGAAAGAAAATGAGAAAACGTTAGGAGAAGGAACCAGAAATGCGTTAAGGATCTACTCCTGTTCAAAAAATGGGGAAGGAGTGTGAACCAGGTGATAGGCTAACCGATCTACTCCTGGTGAGATATTTACAAACGGTTTTTTCAACCACAAGATCTCAGAACAATAACTCTTTCCTGGATTTATGTATTTATCTCTTTAACAGGTGATTCAATCAATATGTTTTAAAAATACATATTAGATAAAACTGTCTGTAAATGACTACGTATTTATTAATCTGTTACCAATACGTCTGGCTGCCTAATTGGTTATAATACTTCACATCATAAAGCCTTAGTTAGCCAGTTACGCTGGCGAAATAAAACAAAAGCTAAATGAAATATGTTATCAAACTTTATTAATTAAAAATGTTGTTTCCAGTAAAACATTATGTTTTATTAAAGACATTTACATAAAATTATTCGGGTAATTTTATTTGATTATTTAAAGAGATTTTTGTAAATTTTAATATCTCTTGATATGTTTGAAAAATAGTCCTGATATTTGAGATTGCTTTGTTTGATATGTGAAGCCAATGTATATATCAGTGCTCGTTCTTTACTGTTCCCCAAATATATAATCGCCTATTTCGCGATTCGTCAAGGCAAAAGTACATTTTACAGATAAAGAAAACATTTGAAAAAAGCAAATTTTCGGTACATTAACAGAATTGCGGAACATATTCCACGTTTCCAGTCTATTACTTAACAAATACAATAAAGTATCTAGATTTTTTTTGTTTGTTGTCGACAGTATGCAAACAAAAATGTGTAATTTTATGTTAAAATATTGTTGTCTCCAAAATATCTATTCTTTCGCAGCCATGATTTTCTCTTCGAGTTGTCGCCTTTTCGAGATTATTTATACCATATTTTTTTGTCCTTCAACATTTGATTTAATATTTTTCTAATCCCATGTTAAATAAATAGTCTATATTTTGGACAGTCATAAAACAACAATCATATCCATTCCAATGAGTCGTGTGATTTTCCAATATTTGCTTCACGTATCACTTTCGGTATTTGGTGATTTCGTCATTTCGTCTTTAGTTAAATTCGAACACAAATGATAGAGATAAATTTAAGTGTTCAGCTCATGTCATCTTACTATAAATCTTTGTAACTGGTTTAATTTAATCACATTCACTTGATTCTTTGTTTCTCGTCTTATCTATATGACAAAAAAAAACAAGTGAAAAGATGTAAATTATTTTATATAAAATTTTTGGGTGAATTTACGCAAAATTTTAAATTTGATCAATAGGAAATGTCATTCCTGTTTTAAATTCTGTAATAACTATGAGATTCTCTTTGAGTTAAAAAGCCAACCATTTTGTTTCTGTTTTGGTGATATCATGGGCAAACACGCTGGTATTATTACTTTTTTGTTGTCTTTGTTTTTATTTCCAATTCAACGTTTTACTATTTTCAATATTTCGTTTCATTCATGTAGAGTAACATTTGAAATGAAATAAGTAAATTATTTTCAAAATTTTCATTTTATTTCAACATCTTTTTATTTTCAGCATTTCATTTCATACAGTATTTCTTTCAATGTTTTCTCTTCATTTCAACATTTTCAGTTTTTTATTTAATTCAGTTTTTATTTGAGTTTTTCTTTCCATTTCAATATTTTCTTATTGTCAGCATTTCATTTCATTTCAATATTTCTTTCAGTTTTTTTCATTTCGCTTCATCATTTTCTTTCTTATATTAAACATATTTTAGTTCACAAAAAAAGTTCTTTCTCTCTTTCAAAATCTTGTTTATAAAAATTTTGATTCTTTGGTAATTTTATAAAATAACTGGGCGCTTATAGCACAGTTTCGGAAATGTTTCGTTTTCATCACGCTTCTTATATAGGCTGATTGAAGTGAAAGCTTTTCGAAACCATTTCACCACTTATCTGTTCTACGCAAGAGAGTACAGAGTATCTCTTGTGTTGACCTTAGGGTGAAATCCTCATTTTTGTGTTATGCTTCCAACTTTATGCATTTTGCAGTTCCATTCTCGTCTGCTGCTCCATTTTTTAAGTGCTTAGTAGACTAGAATAAGCGTACATGAAAGCAGACGTATTATTAAACAGGAGAGCAGAAATACGAAGGCAATGAACATTGCTAAGTACGTACAAATACATAGCCAAAAACATAAAAGAATATTTATAAGCCCATATTACGATAGAAACGGATGCATAAACACTAAAGTACATATCAGATTTTATATATTTATACATAAGTGGCAGGCAGCATTAAATGAGACATTATCTGGATACACTAACAAACACAGACGAGAAAAGTAACAGTGAGCAAACAGGGAAATATATGAGAATTCATATGTATGGCCGAACATGAAAAGCAAACTATTACAAATATAAAATTCCCTTGTATTAGTGGGACATAGGATAATATTTGTTACAGTAGAAGCAGATGTTAAAATACATGCAAAGGCAATTCTCTAGCGGGATGGGACAACTCAACACCGTCGACTCAACAGCGCCGATTATGCGCCGGGACATCTCAGGACTAAGACAATTTAGCAGCAGAAAAACAACTATTATATAACCGCATAAAAGTAAACTGACATATAAAATAATAGAATGAAACACACTTGTTTTTAATTATTTTTAATAAAGTAAATCGTAAAGTAATTTACTTCTTAATAAAGTAAATCGAAATATGCCTAAATATACTTTATAAAAATAAATTTCTTTACAATTTACTCATGGTTAAAATTTTACATAATCCCTTTTCACATGCCTTATTTGAAGAAAAGTATTCACTAATTAAGGTTTTAATCTATAATAAATTACTTTTATTCGGTTATAAAAATGTTATCTTTTTCTGGTGCTGAGTTGTCTCGGTCCTGAGTTGTCCGGCGGTCAGACGGCGGTGTTCAGTCGGTGATGTTCACTTGGTAGTGTTAAGTCAAATGTTGCAGCCATTATCTAGATGCATAAATATTGCTAAATAGAGGACAATAGTCTGTATCGGTTACTATTCAGATAAATATATTGGAATGCTAAGTGCTGATTTTTTTTCACAAATATATAAACAACATTAAACTTCAGTAGTTGTCCGAAGATATTAGCTTTTGTGGGCATACATGCTATTGCCGTGTCAACCTTTCAAGAAATAATTCGTAGTGGACAGAAGGAAAGCAATAAGAAAAATGGTAGACATATGACTTCCTAAGATACAGGGGACTGCATCGAAAAACAATACATTTACTTCTTTCAATTCATATAAAAAAATTAAACATTCTCAAGCTGGCTTCATCTTAAAACAGCCTTCATTTTTTTTTCTCTTTATGTGATAAAAGTGATTTACATTGGATACTATACGTTATAAATAAAATAAAACTTCATATTCAAGACACATTTTAAGTATAACCAACATCATGCAATAGACAGATTTCCACTAAATATAACATAAAAATTGACTTTTTTGTCAGAGGCAAAAGAGTAACATTATAAACTTTGTTCTGATTGCTACTCTCCTGATTTTGTTTTTCTCTTAGGTTAACTTTACGACAGAATGAACAAATGCAAATGCATTGGAGACAAAATATAGTTTTTGTAATATTTATCATGTAAATCGTCGAAAAGTCAATTCAACCAAGTTTGTTCTTTAAAATTGCACAAATTTTTTGTAATTCAATTTTTTATAATTCTTTATATGTATTCTTTTACATACAAAGGAACGGCTGAACTCTCATGCTAAAAAGAAGTCTTTAAAATTCAGTTATGTGTTCAAATTTTGGAACTGTGAACTTTTTCATCCCTCCATCATGTATGTCTCTGTCTGTCTGACTCCTTTCCCTATCTATCTATCTATCTATCTATCTATCTATATATATATATATATATATATATATATATATATATATATATAGAGAGAGAGAGAGAGAGAGAGATTTAATAGACTAGTTAATAAAATTTGAAGAATAAAAAAACGAAATGATACCAACATTGTCAATAAAATTGATATTTAATATATATTAATAGACGTTTTGTGTCGATTAATTTTTTGATCGATTTTTCAAAATTACGAATAATCCTTCACAGATAGGGAGGTAATTCCTTCAGAAATTGTCCAAAGTTCATTTTGGAAGAAATATGGTCCAAGCTTCCGACTTTCTGAAGTTATCATCTCTGTAGGTGGAATCAAATGATGAGTTTCATAGAACTGACAAATGTAGTGATTGGGCAGAGTGTTGTGACGCGTGCGTTTAATAAAACAAAATAAAAAAAAAAACAAAAACAAGATGAACATGCACAAACACACGTCACACCTTACCCAACTAACAAACTCACCAGTTCTATGAAACCTACACTGATGATGACTTATGAAAATCGGAAGCTTAGACCATATTTCTTTCCAAATGAACTTTGGACAATTTCTGCCGAAATTTTCTCCTTATCTGAAAAGAATTATTCGTAATTTGGAAAAGCAATTTATTACATTTTTAAAATTTTTTAGAGCATAAAATAATATTTGCATTAAAGAAATATTGCATTTCGACAAAAACAGTTGACGATCGTATTTCTGGAAGGTAACTTTTTCTTATAAAATTAGTTGTAAAAGTAATTATAATGCTCGCTATCAAAATATAATGCATTAATAATAATGAATAAGCCAAAATGTTGGCTTATCTTGTCTCTACCCTGAATTCACGGAATTGCAATCACTGTTCATTGGATTTCGTTATAAATATATTTTTTAATTACAATTTTACACGGAAGTTTTGGTCGAGGTCAGAACTTATCACTCCTTATATAAAGAGAGAGTTCACCCCCACCATTGTCATCGCAATTTGATAAAAATACGAAAGACAAGATTTTCCTTTCTTGAAGTGTGTATACGTTTTTTTTTGGGGGGATTTTTCTCTTTCTCTCTCTCTCTCTCTATATATATATATATATATATATATATATATATATATATATATATAATGAAATCACATTACGAGAGTAGTTTGTTTATATATATATATATATATTTAAGTATATAATTGGTATATACGGAATGAATTCCAATAACCAACAATTACTATTCTTAAAAGAGTGCTCAAATAATAGGAGCTAATATCCAAGTATATAATTGGTATATACTTATGTTATAACTTTTTTATAAATAAACAGAGTGTGTTGAAACAAAATGGCTATTTTTGTAGTGATTTTATAACATACTAATGTTATAATTTTTTTATAAATAATAATCATATATATATTTATATATAAAGTAGTTTGTTTTATATATATATATATATATATATATATATATATTATATATAATATATATATAAATATATATATATATATAGATGTATATATATATATATATATATATATATATATATATATATATATATATATATATATATAAACAAACTGAATTCGTAATGTGATTTCACTTGTAAGTGGTTGCTTCACTGCTGTGGTCATGTAGCAGATGAATCGAAGCGTAGAGACAACTCTAATACAAATATGTCTTCGGTGGACATTTGTCTGACTATTGATTTTACACAGGTGTTTTGTCCGCATATTGGGCATGACAAACTTAAAAGATAATTGCGTGTTACACGATGCGTAAAAATGACAGCCCGTTCCTTTCCTTTGCCTTTACTTACAATTCACCATTTACTTTTCGATCTTGATTAACTAAATTCCCCAGTTGCATCTCACTAGGTGCTTCGTTCATTTTCTGGCTTCCATTCAACTATGCCAGATGCCACCAGCAAACGTGAATACACCAGGAATTGGGAACAGGGGAAATACAAACCGTGAAATGAGGACTGTTTTCTCACTTAACAGAATAGAAAAAAAAAACAACCAAAAAACAAATTTTATTATAACTTTGCCAGGTTCTGACGCAGACAACAATGTCTTTTGTTTATTTTTATTTCCTTGCGGTGGAGACATTAAGCTTTGTTTTGAATTCTACGTTGTCAAACTTGAAAGTTAATCTTTGTTACTAAATGATTTATGTTCTTGAATCAGAAGAGAGGAAATTAATAATTGCTTCATGCAGCTTGTGTGAATGTTTTATTGATGTCTAAAACTATTTCATGATTCTATTTAAGCTTTTCATTATATAATTTCGATTGAATTAAGATCACGTTTAGAGATTTAATCGGTTCACTTTTGCCTTTTACGTGACATTGAGGCCATAAAACTGAATTTGAGTATTTACACTCAATAATTCGTTGCGTGTTTGCCAAAATTCATATGGTCATGTCTGTGTGAATATGTGAATTACTTTCCTTGTTTAACATTGTTACAATAGAAGCAAAAGCCAGTTATCTTGATTCTGTTACGAAGTAAAATATAGTACAAATGGAATTATCTTGAAAATCCAAGAAATTATGTTCTTGAAGACGAGAATCGGATTTGGTGTTCTTCATTAATTTGTTTTCTTTTTTTTTTTGGTTCATTCGAATATATGTGAAGTAATATCAATAAATCTGTCGCCTGACACGTATTTATGTGGCTCAAGTCATTATTTGCATCATTCAACCAACGTTTTATCCAAGTGGATAAAAGCGTTGGATAAAAGTAGATAAAAGCGTTGGCTGCAAAAATTTAGTTGAAAGAGTTTTGAGTTCAATACTTGGCCCCAGTAATGGGAACAGAAAAAATTGAAGTGTTGAGTTACTCAAGAGAATTAACTGAAACTGAGATACCCCCCACTCCGAAAAAAAAGGTATGACATGTAGAACTAGAATGATCTCCCCCCGTAGACTAATTGATCCGGTTTGAAATTCCAGTCTATATCACTTGAAGAAGGCCGGAGCTTACAATGTCCTAAACGTCGTGAATCTTACTTATTATAAAACGCAGGTTGTGTGTGTGTGTCTGTCTGTAACGTTTATATGTTGGATCGAATTTCCTACATTTTTTAGCCGATTTCAACAAAACTTCACATGACTACATAAAATTACCTTGTGGTGGTTCTAACGGGACCGAAAATGGGAAAATACAGTTGTTTTTTTAATAAAATCAATTTGAAAACACGATTAAGACACATCGTGAGAATGAAAGGGGGACAACTCACCCACGAAAATGTAAACAAAAGAGCATAGCATGATGTAAAAGACGCCGAACTTGACAAAAACAAAATTTTATCGTCTAATGTTCATATTATTATTAAAGAGGAAAGATCAAAGTATTTTTGGGGTATTTTTTTACATTTTTTAATCGTTCCTAGCATGTCTGAAATTTTCGTCAAAAATATTGTTTTTTTTTTGGTCAAAAAAAAAGGACAGAATCATTTTAAATTTTCAATCATTTTTTTCGATTTGATAAAAAAGATTAAAATCTTACTTTGATATTCTTTTAAAAGTCAATTATCATTTTTTCAAAACTGATTTTAATAAAAACAGATATTATACTGTTTATTTAAAATATTTTGAACCAAGCTTAACTTAGCTTCTGCGCCGAAAAAATGTAATTTGAAAATAAAACAAAGCAGGTCATAACCTTTCGCGTCGCTTGACGATTGACGAAAGGCACATTCATGACGTTTAGATAACTTAACGGGAGGAGAATTCTTTCTACGGATGGAAGGAAGTGAAATTATTTAAGTGAACAAATTATTTACCTTGTTACTTTTAAGGAAAACTTTCAGCGCTCTAATTTTTAATTTTTTAATTTTTTTTTTTTGTACTTAGCTTTCATTTTTACGTTTACGATGCTTTATGGAAAATATAAAGAAATTAAAAAATAAGACTGTTAATAGTGAGATTAAATTTCATAAGAAAAAGGTATCTAATTAATTTAGGTACCTTTCTTATGAAATTTTATCAGAAGTGTACATAAAATACTATAATTTTATGTACATTTATTACATTTTACTGTATTATTTGTGTTTCCATTCATTTTATTATTAATTTTGATATTTCATTTATGGAAAAATGTCATAACTGAGATTAATATAAAAATAAGATCATATAAATTAAAAAGTTTAGCAGTAGTTAAATTTCATAAGATGATACTGTTACTTGTAGGTACCCTTCTCAGTTGAAATTGAAAACTCAAATTAACTTCTCCATACGTGTTTCGCAAAAGTAAAGGGCTTAACAGCGGAGAACAATGCTGAACTCAAATAATGCAACTAAATTGTATTCTGGTTGGTCTTCCGTACTTGATAATTACTGTCCGACTATAAACACAAAAATTACA